CTCCACCGCGAGGAGGGGTTAGGAAGAGGAGGAGGAGGAGGAGGACCATGTAAACCCAAGACTAATCGACGATGTTGGAATAGACCCTCCCTCCAAGCTCCCTCGCCATAGGCCCCTACATGGGTTCATGTCCGCTGACGGAACCGCCTCGTTGGGAGACAACCGTTTGAAGACCCTGAAGCGTGCCAAAGAACCATTCTCGGGACACCCACGCCACGGAGCCATTTGACGGTTGCGCCTTGACGATCCTGAATCGCGCCACATTGCCATTCCTGCGACTCGAACACCGCGAATCAACTTAACTGTTGCACCCTCATATTCCTGAGCCCGTCCAAAACAACACTTCTGGTACGTTGGTCATGGGAACCCGTGAAACTCCGGCAAATGTTAACAACCAATGCGCGCGGCGCTAAGGCGAGAGCTGCAGGTTGAAAACCAAGGACCCTCAACCCGTGAAACTCTTACCATGTTTTCTGAACGAATGCGCGCGACGCTCAGGCGAAAGCCACATTTTGAAAACCAACCGCCCTCAATCCTTGAAGCCCTTGCAATTTGTTTCAAACGAATGTGCACGGCGCTTAGGCGAGAAACACATGTTGGAAGCGGCCCGCCCTCAATCCGTGAAACTCTTGCAAGGTTTCAAGACGAATGTGCGCGGCGCCAGGCGAGAGCCACACTTTGAAAACCACCCGCCCTCAATCCGTGAAACTCTATCATGGTGTTCAAAAGAATGTACGGCGTTAAAGCGAAAACCACATTTTGAAAACGGCCCGCCCTCCGTCTGTGAAACTGCTGCAATGTTTGAAAACGAATGTGCGCGTCGCCAAGGCGCGAGCCACATTTTGAAAACCAACCGCCCTCAAACCGTGAACCTCTTGCAGATGCTTGAAACGAATGTGCGCGGCGCTAAGGCGAGAACCACATTTTGGAAGCGGCACGCCCTCCATATGTGAAGCTGTTGCCGCTGCTTTAGCTCCAGGGCCATGAATGGTCAAGAATGATCCGTCGAAACGCCCGGCCCGCCCTTTCGACCGGCCTCAGGGTGCGACAGGGAGGAGTTATTCATAAGGACGAAAGAGGAGTGGAGGAGAACGAGGAAGAGCAGGAGGAGAAGGAGGAGGAGAAGGAAGAGAAGGAGGAGGAGGCCGAGGAGAAAAAGGAGGAAGAGGAAAAGGGGGATAAGGAACAGGAGGAGGAGGAGTGGGAGGACAAGGAGGTGGAAGGAGGAAAAGAGAGGCGTTGGATGAGGAGGAGGAGGTGGAGGACAACGACGACGAGGGGGAGGCGGAGGGGGAAGGGGGAAGGGGGGGAAGGGGAGCGATGAGTTCAATCCCGAGCAGAGAGGTTAGCACACGATGGAAAGGTTCAATCTTCGGAAGCAGGTTGAATCCCCGGCAGCAGGGCTAAATCCCTGGCATCCATCTCAAATACATGTCAAGCGCAAACTAATCTCAGAGACCCAGAATACGCATGAGAGTCCTTAAGATAACCACATGGAGTCTGGCAAGGTTTCCTGCCAGGGATTGTACCAGACAGAATCCCATATATTGCTATCCCTATAGTGGTGATCCGATCGAAATCAAACGAAAATCCTTACAATTGAAATGGAATCGGGGTCCTTGTGAAATCCGATGCGAATCCAGTCTATAGGATTCCTGTGGGCATCCTGATGGAATCGTGTACGTATCTGATATAATACAGTATGATGTCCTATGGAATTTCCAATGAAATTTCTCCGCACTGCCATCCTAAATTGGAATCATGCCTGCCGGTAGCCTGGAGCCCGACTGCGATCCACTTGCGATACAAAAAGATCCTTCTCTATCGGAATCCTGACGACATTCAATTGGGATCCTATTGGAATCCGATAGGGATCCTGTTGCATATCCGATGGGACTCCACTGGGAATACAGTTATACTTCTCCGATTGCGACCCTATCGGCTTCCGATTGGACTCCGATTGAATTCCATGGATATCATCCATCTTGGATTAATATTCGCATCCTCTTGGGAGCCAAGTGAAGTTCAAAGGTTCATTCCCATTGGGACCCTACTGGGTTATTTAATGGGTTCCTCTGGGAAGCCAATCAGGTTCCTTCCCATTGGGTTCCGGGTAATAACCTATTGGAACCCAATTGGTGTGGTTCGCATTGGACTCCTCTGTCTTGGGTTGCTCCGGGAATCCTGTGCAACCCAGTACCATGCCCATTGAACCCTATTGGGTTCCTAATGGGATGCTGTGGGATACTATAGTACTCATTCCGATTGGGTTCCTATTAGAACACATGTGAATTCCTATTTGGACCTCAATAAGACAAGAAGGTGTCTTCCTATCGGATTCCCATTGAAATTGTCGTTGCTGTGTGCATCGCATTTGTTGTGTGCCGTGCTGATGCCACGAGTACTGCCAAGAGGGCTCCAAGAGGGCCCCGAGGCCTTGTTTGCTTGATTTCAGTTAAACTCCAGGAGTTGCTGTCTATGGTAGCTGATAGACGTGGTTTAACCACACCTGATGTCTCCTCGTATACCATCGTACGGGGACTGGGACTCTCAACACAGCTCAGCGGCTCCAGCTCACGCTTGTCGTTGGCGTAAGAATGAAATAATGTGGCCTCGTGCCAGGTTATCAACACACTGACGACCAAACTTTTAGAGACACCTGGAAGCGCCTCCTGATGAGCCGCTGCAGCCCACTAAAGAACCAAGGTATCTTGATTGACGCTGTCGCACAAGATGTGTGATGTAAGTGGGATGTGTGGGCGCTCGTCCGCGGTACGAGCGCGATGTGTCCTCTTGACTTTCTGTTTACATCCTGCAAGACGCAAACATCGTCCCAGCCCCGTGGATGAGCGCACGGGCATGCTTAGTCGCCTTATCGACCCTCATAATGTCCGAGACCGGCCGCATGGCAAGACCCTCCCTCGCTCCCTACAAACTGCGCCGTGATCATCACCTTTACCATCCTCGTCATCCAGATCCTCAACCTCATCCATGCCCATCCTCACCATCATCATCATCATCATCATCATCATCATCATCATCATCATCATCATCATCATCATCAGAATCACCATCATCAGAATCCTCATCATCATCCTCATCCTCATCAACAACACCACAACCACCACCATCACAATCATCATCATCATCATCATCATCATCATCATCAGCAGCATCATCATAATCAGCATCATCAGCATCATCAGCATCATCATAGTCGCTGTCGCCATCATAATCATAAGCAGCATTAGCATGATCATCACCATCTTCCTCATCCTCATCATCATCCACATCCTCATGCTCAGCATCATCATCAGAAGCAGCATCGTCATCGTCATCATCACCATCATCATTCCCTGTATCATCATCATCATCATCATCATCACCATCACCAGTATCATTGTCATCGTTACCCTCAGCCTCATCGCCATCATCACCATCGTCATCATCAGCCGCATCATCATCATCAGAATCATCATCAGCAGCATCAACATCATGGTCATCCTCATCATCGCCGTCATCATCACCATCATCATTCCGTGTATCATCATCACCGTCATCATCATCACAATCATCAGAATCGTCATCATCATCATCATCATCATCATCAGCATCAGCGTCATCATCATCCTCATCATTATCATCAGCATCATCATCAGCAGCATCATCATCAGCAGCATCATCACCGCCATCGGGAGGCCGAAGAAGCCTCCTGGGAGGTCCAAGAAGCTCATCGGGAGGTCCAAAAAGCACTTCCGGAAGCCCAAGAAGCCTCCCGGGTGGCCCAAGAAGCCTCTCGGGAGGTCCAAGAAGCATGTCGGGAGGCCCAAGAAGCCAATCGGGAGGCCCAAGAAGCCTCCCGGGAGGCCGAAGAAGCCTCTCGGGAAGGCCAAGAAGCCTCTCGGGAGGCCCGAGAAGCGTCTGGGGATGCCCAAGAAGCTCTCGGGAGGCCCAACAAGCACGCCACAACAATGTTTTACACCAACGCTGAAGAAACGCTGGAACGCTTCAAAGTGGCTTCTGGGGATTGAACCTTTCGGCCGGGGCTTGAACCCTTCTGCTGGGGATTCCCTTTTTCACGGGAAGGGTGAGGAGGAGGAGAAGGAGGACGAGGACAAGGACACGGACAACACGCTCGGAGGGCGAATCGAAGCAACAGCAGCGGCAGCAACCACGACACCTGGGACCCTGCCTACGACACTGGGGGACAACCACGGCGGGCAGACACATGCTGCCCGACTTGGCCAGACCTACGCGGACACATCGTCGCCTGGCGCAAATTCGCCTGCCCAAACTGATACGAAGCAAAACCATTACCGACATTCGGGTCGGGGTCACTTCATTCTCCCCCCTCTGAACAATCAGACTACCACCCTACAAGTACTGCTACTACTGCTACTCCAGCTACGAACTACTTCTACTACAACAACTCCTACGATTACATTTACAACTACTACTACTACTACTACTACTACTACTACTACTACTACTACGACGACTGCTAGTACTACTCTTACTACTACTACTAGTACTACTACTACTACTACTACTACTACTACTACTACTACTACTATTACTACTACTACTACTACTACTACTACTACTACTACTACTACCACTACTACTACTATTATTACTACTACTACTACTACTACTACTACGGCTACTACCACTACCACTAGTACTACTAATACTCCTACTCCTACTACTACGACTACTACTACTGCTACTACTACTACTATTATTACTACTACTACTACTACTACTACCACTAATACCACTACTACGACTACGACTACGACTACGACTACGACTGCGACTACTACTACTACTACTACCACTACTACTACTACGACTACTACTACTACTACTACTACTACCCATACGATTACTACTACTAATACTACTACTAGTACTACTACAACTACAGCAACAACTAGTACCACTACTACAACGACTACTTCGACTACTACTACTACTATTACTACTACTACTACTAC